AGAGGAACAATTGTCCTCAGAAAGCACACATCTCTTCATACTAAGAGCACTTCGCTGTGCTTGATAACTTGAGTTTTCTTTTTCAGTTACAATACTCATTGGAGTCCTCTTTTGTAATCTAGATTACTTAACAAAACAAACAAAATTGCTACTTCTAAGAATGTTATTTACTCTGCCTGGTATAGACTTCAAATTGTAATTACTGTTCATCCAAAAGCTACTGATATAAATGCAGGCAGTGTCTAGTTTATGTCATCAGTTGTGAGCGGTTAAATTACTTTGGTGAAATGAAGATTTTGCTCTGATTTAGCAGTATTCTCAAAACCTGGGCCTACTCATATTTTGAGGTCAGTATATGTCAAGTTCCACAAAGTTATAGCTCACATATCCTTCCTGAAATCTTGAAAGCTTACCACATTAATTTACATAGAAGACATATTTAGTGAATAATAGACAAATACAGATTTTTGCTAATGAACCAGACATATTTTTAGACAGAAAACATGGCAATGTTATGCTGCCAGAAAACAAAACTCAAGAAGAGAGTCATAAAATTTTATGAAGTCAAAAATAATTTCTTTCATAAGGTTACTGCTTTTGTGTCAATCAGCACAAATAACATAAAGAAAAATAAGAATGTGTAGCAATTAAAATCGTCAAACATTTTTTACAATTGCTCAAAACATAAAACAACCACAAGGTTAGTGCCTCTCTTTTCTGGATTTTTGTCGAATATATTCTTGTGTCCTTAATGCAATCTGGTAAAAAGGGAAAATCAGCCAAATTTTTAGGTATTTAGAAGTACTCATCATTTACATAATTCCACCTTGTATCCACTGCCCTACACAGTCATTTTAGATTTTTTTTTAGTTATTTTCTCAAAGTATACACAGAATGGAATCGATTCTGGGCACTTTTTCCACTGGCACTTTGATCTAACATGTAATCATACACATAATCATCTCTCTCAAAGATTATGGAAATGACCTCACCAATCTCTTCTCTGTTTGCTCTGGTTGTACCACTGGTTACACTCAAAGCTAATGCTAGTGGGAGCTTATAAAATGACAACTCATGTGTTTTAGCCATTTTGCATAACTGTTCTCCATCTCATCTTTCCAACCCCCTTGCAAGTTCTACAAGTGCAAGACTCGTATTCCCTGTCATTCACGGTACTTCAGTTAACCGAGGTGAATTTATCAAGGAAAATCCCACTTTAGGACTTTGAAATTTCTATTCCTGGGCTTTGAACATTCTTTGTTGATAAAACCATATGTGTAATTTAGTTCCCCATATCACTCTTCTCTTTTCATTTCAGATTATTCAGAGTTCTCTTTTGAGCAACCTATACATGATACACTGAGTGCAGGTCTGTGAATGTTATCTCCTTTGAGAGGAGGATTTATCATGGGTGAGATAGTCTAAAATCCTGAGAGTGAGAGAGCATCCTGAAAAGAAACTAAGTACAATTGCAAAATCTTTTTGTCAGAAGGGGAAGCTGTGTGATGACTCATAAATGAGCTCTTATGCTCTCCTACAGGGTAGAGGAAAGAGATGGTAACTAAGAAATATAATCCCCAATACTCAAAAATCCAATGAAGTAGACTGTTTCTCGGAACCTCTGGAGTGGGTACAGTTGCACTGACCTCTAGCTTTTAACCTTGCAAAGCTCCACTGCAGAGTTCTCACTCTGAAACTGTAAGAGAATAATTGTCATCTTAATCTACCAGTCTGGTGGTGAATTGCGATAGCAGAAACAATAAACTATTTCATTAGATAATGCAGTACCTACAATCTCTTTCTTTCCTTTTTCTTATTTATAGGAATGATTATTATTATGTGGACATGTGTATTTATTTCTCTGTAACACTGAGGTGAATTAATTTGTTGATATTTTACCATAAACACTATTGAATTAGTAGCATCATTTCAAAAATTATAAACTAAGGGACCGTCTCTGATTCAGAAAATGAAGCATATCAAATAGATGTAGTTTTAGTCCATCTCATGACATCTGTTATCTTTGCAATGGATTTTTAAGTCACTTTGATATGAAAATAAATGACCTGCAAGAGGAACATCACAAAGATGTTAGATGGAAATTTGCCAAGTTAAACAATATTCTTGTTATTTAAGCAGTTCGAATATCAAATAGGAAAAGAAGATGTGTGTGCTCATTTTTCTCATAACTCAATTCTATAAGATGGCATAGACTGATGTTCCAAATTGAGATTCTGGATAGAAGGTGAGGCAAAATGAGGTCTGAAGTTTCAGATCTGGAAAGGAAGTGAGTGCTCCTTACAGAAGTCAGGGCCTTGAGCTTTAATGGGGATGAAATAAAATTGGAACCATCTAGGCCTGAGATCATGGAAGACTTGTTATTACAGGAAGCTAGCCAGCTTCTAACTTGTGTAAGAGGACTGCCACACATCAAAGACTGCGCCAGAATAGCATTGTCAGGTTCTGGATGTGAAGGTTGTTTCTATGAATTAACAGTTCTGTAAAATAACAGACTTTTCTTATCTTCCTATTCTCTGGTATTGTTAAGCTAGGGATAAAAGGATGCAATGTTTTAAATGTTAGATTCGCTATGGATGTTGGAAAGCTGCAAACATACGATCCACTATGGAAGTTAATAACATTTCTTCAATAACTGACAGGGAACCCGAAACGTCTCATGCTATGATGGACACTGGATCATGGAGAAATCATGTTTATCCATCGGAGTAGCATCTTGCTCTGCTATAAAGCTCTATAACCTTGAAAGCACATGGCAGGTTGGAACCATACAAGGGTGAAGGAATTCTTCCTAATAGGCTTAACTGAAAATCTCAATCTGCATATTCCTCTCTTTCTGCTTTTCACCCTCATTTATCTCATCACACTTTTAGGTAACTGGGGGATGATCCTCCTGATCTGGTTAAATGCCCCACTGCATATGCCAATGTACTTCTTCCTCAGCAACCTCTCCTTTTGTGACATCTGCTTCTCCACTGTTTTTGCTCCTAAGATGCTGATCAATTTCCTGTCCAAACGTAAGTGGAGCACATTTTATGGCTGTGTTTTACAAAGCTTCTTTTTTGCAGTGTATGTAACCACGGAGGGCATCCTACTGTCCGTGATGGCTTATGACCACTATGTGGCCATAGCAAAACCCTTGTCATATTCAGTCCTTATGACGCAGAGCGTGTGTGTTCATATGGTTCTCGCATCCTACCTGGGTGGGCTCATTAACACCCTGACACACACGCTAGGTCTGCTCAAGCTGGACTTCTGCGGCCCCAATGTCGTGAATCATTTCTTCTGTGACCTCCCCCCTCTCCTGAGGCTGGCATGCTCTGACGCCCATGTGAATGAGCGGCTGCTTCTGGTCTTTTCTGGGGTCATCGCTACATTCGTTTTCATCGTCGTCATAGTCTCTTACATCCGCATCAAGCCTTCTCCACCTGTGCTTCACACCTGAGTGCCGTGACCTTACTCTATGGGTCCGTGACTTTTAGTTACATCCAGCCAAGCTCCCAGTACTCCCTGGAACAGAAGAAGGTCTCTGCTGTATTTTATACATTGGTGGTCCCTATGCTAAACCCACTGATTTACAGCTTGAGGAATAGTGATGTGAAAAATGCAGCAATAAAATCAATATGTTGAATAAAACCTGTGTACATCTTTGTGAAGCTAACATTATTCTACAATTATATTTTCTTTACATTTGTATCGACCATACCAGACTATAAGGACTGTAACGCTTGCTGAGAAATAGACGCACTAAAAAAACAGACAGTTTGGAAGAAAATAAACTTATTTACAGCCAGCCCTGAAGAAAATAAAGGACCTCATTTATTGCTTCTCATCTGTGTTCATAAGGGCTCAGGAAAGTAAAGGCCTTTTATTGCAAACATAAAATAGGGATACAGTGAAACGATGACTAGAAAGTTCATCCAATAGGAAAGGGTCTTCTTCAGAGTTCCCTGTGTTTTTTCTGCAATATTGTTCTTGGATATTTTTATTCTTTATGGATAAAGAACCAGATTTTGCCCTCTAGGATCTTTATCACCATGTGTTTCTGACATAGTTTAATTTTCTGAAAGTTAATTCTTATAGGTGAGGAAAGAATAGGTATGTTCTAGAAGCTGCTCTTTAGTAAATAGAATACCATATGAAAAAATAGGTGGTTAAATGATTAGGGAAGAAACAAATCTATTAGAAACATTTTTTTCCCTAGAAAATACCTTTGGTGTATCATTATAAACAAAACCACAATCAAGCCATGTTTGTTCAGGATGTATGATAAACTTAATTCATTTGCTTAGAAGCATCCTAGAGATTTAACAAAGCTCACTTCTGGATGTCTTTGGTTAGGTCATGATGGCTAGACCTTAAGTACAGCATCTGCTCCCCGGCACCTTCCTTTCTAGCATCGATGACATTCATCTCTATCATGCCATATTGAACGGAGTAGCTTTGCTTTACCACACACTTCTGCTGTGAGGTTTCTGTATTGGAGCCATCTGACCATAGCTTGAAATGGCTGAAAAAATGTAAGCGAAAGTTAAACTTCTTCTCCATTAAGATAGATACGCTTACCATTTCATCCAATTTTGGGAAATCTGATTCCTGGAAGGAGGCATGTGCTTTGACTCTATCTGGCTGTGTGATTTACACACCTTTGGAATTTGTTGGCAGTAGATGTTTGGAAATTTTTGGAGAGGCTGGCTAGAGGAGTCTTAAAATGTTGTAAGTAGAGACTCAGGGGTGATTTAGTCAGAGTGCAGACATCAAGAATGCTGATAGGAATGTGGACAGTAATGGCCAGACTCAAAAGATTTCAGCTAGAAATGAGGGCTTTTATTGGCCATTAAATTAATGCCTTCTGTTACACTCTGGCAGAAAAAAAAATGTATGCACTCTGCCCATAACTTGGGACTTTGCAGGAGACTAAGATTAAGTGCAATTGACTAATTGATCTCAGGGAGGTAATTTTGAAGTTGTCCCAGATTCAGGCTGGAGCATGGTTTACAGCACCTTCTTCAAGCCACATCTGTAGTGCCAGCCAGAAGTAGAAAGCCAAGCAGAAGTATTTGCAGAACCTAAATTTTGACATGATAGGAGTCACTAGTACAGTTGGGTCCAAACAAAGTATAATTACTGAAGAAATTAGTGCCATTAAAGGGAAATCAAGTACTTTGAGCCAGAATAAGAAGAATGACAAAAAGAAAAGAATGATCCCATGGGGGAATCTCAAATATATGCAAGACCCAACTGATGGCTGTCTCAAAAGGGAAAAACTGTAAACTTTTTGAGAAGAGAGTCTTTGTGACCCCTGCTGCACTAAATCTACTTAGAGAATTATTTCTCTCATTTTTATTTCACCTTACTTAGCTATTCAGACCTCTCTTGCTATGGCCAAAGGGAGTCTGGCTATTGCTCATGCTGGCAGCAGACCTTGGCATCTTCACATAAGCTATTGTGCAGGTATCCAAGAATTATTGGATTCTGGAGGCTTCCACTCAGATTTCAGAGGAGAGACTGGTGAGGACAGTGCCAGAATCTGTGGGGATGAAGTTACAGGTGCAATGATGACTCCATGT